CATAGAATCGAAACCCGAACAGAGGGTCCTGAGGCGCTTGCTGTGTAAATACAGGGAGTCGAAGAAGATTGACAAGCACATGTGTCATGACATGTACATGAAGCTGAAGGTTAATGTTTTCAAGAGCAAACGTGTTCTGATGGAGAGCATCCACAAGTCTAAGGCTGAAAAGGCGAGAAAGAAGACGTTGTCTGATCAGTTTGAGGCTAAGAGAGCAAAGAACAAGGCTAGTAGGGAAAGAAAGATTGCAAGGAGGGAGGAACGTCTGGCCCAGGTGACTACAACTTTGATAATAGTTGGATTGCATGCAGATGCTTTGAAAATGACAAAAAATAAGGATTATGAATAACTTACCAGTGGAATTGTTTTGTGTGTTCGTGTATGTATGCATGTCTAAGCCTTTGTCTACTCTAGACCAGGAGACGAACTTAATATGGTATATTATACAATTAACCGACGCCAAACAATCTGGCTTATGAACATGGATTTGTGATATTCTTCGACTTCTTCCATGCTACAATGTTTACGAAAGCTAACTTGATGAAGTTTTTGGATTCTGTTGGCAATGATGGGATGTTGGGGTTTTACTACAAAAAACCAAAAATGAGTTTAGGGAATGGGTTGAGTGAGAATGATATAAAGGAAATGCTTAGGGAGAGAGGTGGGCATCCAGTAGTGCAGATTTATGTTGTTGCCTCATTGCAATTGTATGCATTGCCTGAGCATGCATGGATCTCAGAAGATGATACGCAATGCGATGACCCACAAACATTTGAAGGTTGCTACGTACCTTCTGTGGAAGAAAATGAGGCTGGGGAAGCCGAAATTGATTGGTCAGATCTGTTTTTTCTTGAGAATGCTGAAGAATTGTGGTCAAATTATGAGGAAACCCTCAGTTACCATTACGAAGAAGATCAAAATGTGGGTCATATTGGGGTTGAAGTTGAGGTTAAAGGTGTGGCTGAAGTTGGGGTTGAAGCTGAGGTTGAAGGTGGGGCTGAAGATGAGGTTGAAATATTGGTGGAATCTGATTACGAGATGGAGGATTAGCTAGTATCCAATACTGAAACTGAGCATGAAAGGGTAAATTTCGATTTCAGATTCAGTGTGGGAGATGACCATGACGTTAGGGATTCGGAGTCTGACTATGGGGATGCAGACGAGCTGCAAAGCAATGATAATGCAGGAGAGGATGAGACAACTCCAAGGAGAAGGGCTTCGACTGATGCTTTCAATCCAATGACTGATATGGGGGATCCAATGTTCAAACAAGGTTTGGTATTTGAATCCAAATCTGTGTTGAAGGCTGCCATCACTTCATACTCAATTAGGAGCAACAAAGAAATTGAATACAAGAAGGATGATAAATTGAGGTTGAGAGCCAATTGCAAGGGAAATTGTCCCTGGATATTATACGCTACCAAGGAGCATAAGAAGACAACTTGGGTGATCAAATCATATGTGGCCGAGCATACATGCCCCATGGTGTATAAGAATTTTCGAGTAAGTTCTACATATTTGGCAGATAGATATCTGCGTGACTGGAGGTCCGAGCCAAAAATGTCGGTGAGCACATTCATGGAGAGGGTTAAAAGGGATGGTTTGGGTGATATATCACATTGGCAAGTGTATAGAACGAAGGAGAAAGCACTGGAGAAGATTAGTGGGACTGTGGTGGACCATTACAAAATAATGTGGGATTACTGTGAGGAGTTGAAGCAAACTAATAGTGGGACCACAGCTTTTGTTGAGGGTTATGCCGGGGACTTCCGACAACTGTATATTTGCCTTGGAGCATTAAAGGAGGGTTTCCTTAGGGGGTGTAGAAGGGTGATTGGCCTGGACGGTTGCTGTCTGAAGACGGAGCATGGTGGGCAGTTGTTATCTGCAGTTGGGGTGGATGCTAACAATGGTATGTATCTAGTAGCGTATGCAGTTGTTGAGGTGGAGAACAGAGATAATTGGAAGTGGTTTTTAGAGTTGCTGAGGGATGATTTGCATATACACAATGGGATGCACTGGACATTCATTTCAGATAAGCAGAAGGGGTTGGTTAATGCGATTGAGTCTTTGTTTGAGGATGCGGAGCACAGAACATGTGTTAGATATTTGTACAATAATTTCAGTGCGACGCATAAGGGATTGGCTTTGAAGAATTGCCTTTGGGATGCAGCCAGAGCCACTACTGTTCCACAGTGGCTTCAACATATGCAAAAGATGTTGGACCTGGACCCGGCTGCATATGGGTGGCTTGAACCAAAACCAGCATCTCATTGGAGCAAATCCCACTTCATAGAGTGGACTCGGTGTGACATGCTTCTGAACAATTTGTGTGAATCATTCAACACCACAATTGTCAATGCAAGAGAAAAGCCCATTCTAACAATGCTTGAGGAGATTAGGGTATACTTGATGAAGAGAATTGTAGCCCGTAGAGATTCAGCTGATGGATGGACATCAGCAATGGGCCCGAGAATCCAAAGATTTTCGAAAAGAACAGTAATCTGGCGAGGTTTGAGTGGTCTGAATATACGGGGAATGAGAAATTCCAAGTTCGGTACAATGTGATCATTGTACTACATGCTGTTGACTTGAGGGCAAGGACTTGTACATGTCGTGGGCGGCATTTATCGGGAATACCTTGTTGCCATGTAATTGCCTCGTTGGTATCAAGAGGCCTTAATGTTGTTGATTATGTACACGTATCTACAAAAAGGACTGTTACTTGATCACATATACGCCTTCAATTTCCCCTATAACAGGACCAAACTCATGGCCTAGTCCAGGTCTCAACCCACTCAGACCACCTGCGTACACCAAAAAGGCCGGGAGGCCAAAAAAGAATAGAAGAAAAGAGCCAAATGAGGTGGAGTCTTCTAGCCAAGCAAAGAAGTCCAGAAGGTCCGCACAAAATGAAACCCCTTCTAAGACAACTTCAGCAGGTATATCTGGTGCAAAGAAGTAAGCTGGCCAGATTCGACATGTCGAAAATGTGGTGAACCAGGGCACAACAGGAGGAGCTGCAAAGGGGCACCACCACCAGCAAGCAACTAGGGACCAGCAGGCATTTTTTGTGGTTTCTGTTGAAGCATCTGTGTTGAACAGTAATTTTCTTTTGTTTATGTATGAATGCTATGTCAATTGAGATCTCTATTAAGCCTTTTATTCTGTTGTTAAGCCTTTTTTTGTTCAGATTATTCTGAACTTTTTTTTTTTATTTGAAGTTTGATGAATATTGGATTTTCGAAAGGCTTAATTTTCGAAAATGCACTGCCACGCTGATGATGAACAGTAGAATTCATCATTGTAGATATCATTTTTTTCTGAATAACCTATTTACTTATGGCGGGAAGAAGAGTATCTCGGAGTGTGACAATTTTACCATTCAGCCTTGAAATTAAAAGTGAGCCAGGTGTGCATTTCACAGTCAAATTCATGGCAGACGGACGGAATGATGTTTTACGCAAGGAAATGTTGAAATATGGGCGAAAATGCAAAACAATGGAACGTAGGGACGTTTTTCACAATAGGTGGCAAACATAGGGACGTTTTGCACTATTAAGCCTTATTGGAACTGTGCTCTGACCTTTTTAAATGTTTTCAATGCAGGGGAAGTAAGAAAGCTAAGAAGTAAAATATCTATCATGGTTAATTTTAATGATTGGTGGCTTTATGCCATGGCACTGTTTTTGTTAGTATGGCGCTCTGTTTTTCCCCTATTGTGTTATCTTTTGATAAAACTATGCTGTCTATATTTAGTGAAAGGAGTATTAAAATATATCAATCTAGTTTTTCATATTTTGATTTGATTATCGTGTCTCTGAATTTTCCTGTTGACATTTGCTTCTTTAGCCCCTGTTTGGTAACCATTTTGGCCAAAAATGAGAATGTATTTTATGATTGTTAGGCACACAAGCCAAAATTATTGTGAGATGAAAGTCAAACCTGTCATGCCATTTGGAGCCCTCTAACGGCTCTTTTTTTCTAAAATGAAGGCAAAATGGGGAACAAATAGGCTGTTAGAAAATGATCGTCGTTTGCTCGAGTATCTTTTGGAAGTGGAATGTTTTTTCTAGTGTATGATTGATCTTGGTCCTGCTGGAGAGCCTTATTCTTAAGTGGGAATCCAAATACACGAGTCAGTCAGCATCTTTTGAAACTTGCATCTCTTGTAGTCCAGAATTCAGTAAAGCTCTATTGGGTATTGATTGATTTCATCTTAGCACATCAATTTTGAAAGTTATGCTTAAAATATTGGCAGTACGCTTGTTACCTTCTAATAGAATTTTCCTAATTGAACCATAATTATGACTACAGAAGTTCTGTCAAGGCAGTAGACTCCACCAAATTCTAAATCAAAGTCCTTGAACCCAAGACTTTCAAGAAGACTTGAAAAGGCAAATTTGGTGAACAGAAGTGGGATGCCATGTGGATAATACCCATTTTCAGAATCTTATGCCTGGATTACCATTCTTTGGTGAACAGAAGTGGAATGTCATATTGTATAATATTCAAGATTGAAGGGCAGTTTGAACTGTAAATTTTTTTATCAATCTTGATTTACCATGTTCAGTGGATAGTGATCGAACCTCATGCTCTGTTACCATGTTGGTTCCTGTTTAGCACTTTTTCCTTCATTTGTTATCCGCTAACCAAAGTTGAACGTGCATTACACGTCATTTAGAAATACTTTACAAGTGCTTTAAAAGTAATATTTGATATCAATTTGTTATGAGGATTTGATGAGTCAAACGAATTTTTAAAAAAAATTAGGATAAAAATTTAAGAGAAGAGTATTGTTCTCTCAAAACTCAATTTCTGTTATTTAAAATTTTTATGATGATAAAATATTACAAATGAGCAACATTTTTAATTTTTTTTATATTACATTTGGTACATAAAAATTAATTGATAATATATGAATTTAAACACACATTAAAATTTCAAATACGTGAATAGAAAAAAAAAATCATCTTTAATAAATTTAAACACCAATTAAAATTCCTAGATTCGTGTAGATTGAGATTCATTAAGTCTATATTAATGTGAATGTTAATTAATTGAGAATTAATAGCGCAAAATTCAAACATGACAATAATTTTTTAGTATTTACTATATATTGAAAAATGATTGAAAAACGAAAAATAAGATATTATTGAAATAATTGAATCTTAGTAGGGTTAAAATCGTCCTAAAAATGATTCTCGCTTAATGCGATATTTAATATATTATAGATTACACAAATGAATTAACCTCCATTTTCAAAATTGACAAAAAGTTTCAAAGAACTAAAAATGAGACGAAAGTTGTAGCTGAACATAAGCGATTATAAAATGTAGGTAAACAAGGTACGAGTATGGAGTATGGACTTACGGAGGGAACATGAATTGGACCAAAAATGTCTTTCCTCCCCGAACGAGAACGACGATGAATACCGTCTAAAGTTTGCTGCAGTAGAAATCAGTGACTCCGTCAGTAACGGTGTCATCTTCGATCCATTGGATACTCGATGGGATGCTATAAACACCACCATTACCAGAATCAATGGCGAATCAAAAATTTGAAGTAGATAATATTTATGCTCTGAATTTGATCTAAAACAAAATATTTTATGATTTACTACATAACATTAATAAAATATAAAAATACTAGATGATATACATTTTATGTTACATATACTTCCTTTGAAAAATAATATCATCCACCCATTCTGCAACTGACCCAATATGAATCCATCATATTTTCACGTTTTATCATTAATACATTTTTCTAAATAGAATAATAAATTCAAAAAAACTGACACATAATGAATCCATCCTATTTAAATATTTTTTTTAACCATAAATACTACCTTTTGTAAAGTAAAATAGAAATGTGAAAAGATAAACAGATC